TTTAAATTTATACATGCCATACATAGTGGAAAATGTACAATAATTGGAACTACAATCATCTAATGGTATATGCCAAAAGGAATCTTTTAGATCTAATACACAAAATAAATTGGCATCCTTAATTTTACATGATAATTCCCCTAGGGTTGGTATTCCATAATAGTCTTTAACAATTGCTTCATTTAGCTCACGGGGATCTAAACAAATGCGTATATCACCAGTCGGTTTTTCTACTACTACTAACCTATTTACCCATGCGGTTGGATTATCAACTTTACTTATTATATCTAGACTTACTAATTTTTGTAATTCAGCTTCTAACTGTGGTTGAATTTTGATCGGCACACGATGTGGTGGCTTTGAAGTAGGAATACTACCTTCCTTAAGCTTAATAGTATATGGTTTATTTATTTTACCTATACCTTCAAACAAGTCTTTATACTCACTAACAAAATCGTCCTTTAACATATGCACCTTGGCTTCATTCACATGGTGCCGCTTAACTAACTTAAACTTCACACAAGTGTCTCTGCTGAGAATTGGAATGGACTGTTCCTGACCTGCGACATAAAAACGTTCATAACTTGAATTTTTACCTATTTGTATTTTTAAAGATACGATTCCTTCAACATTAGTTTTGAAACCGTTCCAACTTTCTAGACGTGCTGTACAACCCTGTAGTCTTATTGATGGCGACATTTTCTTCAACTTCTTATATATGGGAACTGGTATGATGTTAACATCCGCACCTGGATCCAGCTTGAACATGACGTCCATTTTATTTTCAATGTTGACAGTTTCCATCCACGCCACAGAATCTACGTTGGCTTGAATAATGGAGCCACAAAAGTAATTCTCCTCGTCGTCCTCTAGGATGTTCTCATGAACTTGCTTGCGAGAGTACGTAGGGGTTTGCGTTGATCCTCGCGTTGATCGGCACATTTTTGCAAAATGGTTCCTTTTTTGGCATTTTGCACATGTCTTATTGGTCGCGGGACAATTTCCTACACTAAAATGAGTGAGACCACACTTATCACAAATGTCAGTCTTTTTGATAAAACTTGGCCTTGCTTTCGGTCTTGTTTGTTTCGTAACGGTAGAGTGGACATTAGGTTGTGTTGATAAGATATTTTGAACTTGTATATCCGTGATGTCTGCCAATCTTAGAGATTTTACCACCTCATCTAGCTTGGGGTTCCCTTCTTTGATTAATTTAGTTTTTGCATCTTGATTGGTTGACCCGAAAACAAGTTTGTCCCGAAGTATTTCGTCGGCATCACTATATTCGCAGGCTCCAATTAGTAACTTGACATCAGTATAGAACGAATTAAATTGCTCGCCTTCCTTTTGATTACGTTGATTGAATATAAAGCGTGAATGCAAGACATTTTTCTTAGGGTTGCAATATTCCTCTAGTTTGGCTAAAACATCTTTAAGTTCATTATTTGTAGTATTACCTTTGATCGTGTTGTAAACTTCCAAAGCTTCGTCACCAATTAAGTTTAGTAAGACTGCAATTTTGCGCTTATCAGGTTGTGTATCAAGTCCACTAGCCAAGAGGTATATGTCGAATGACTGGGCAAATCTTCTCCAATTTTCACTTAGATTTCCTTCCAAAACTAGTTTTGCTGGTACGTTGCACGAGACCGCCATTTTCTCATCAAGCGAGATAACAGTAGAGTAGGTAGCTTAATAAGCCCCAAAATGTTTAACCAGAGTGCCCTGACAATACGAATAATAAAACCACCAAATTTACTTCCGACTGCGCCATGTGTTATATGTTAAAACAAAAGGAAACGACATGTTTGTTTAACATAACTTTATTAACTGAACGCATGTACTTGCGTCTCCGTCCGACTCTCTCTGCCTTGTTGCCGGTTCTCCCCTTGTCACTTACTTAATCTATCACAGGGACTGTAAGGCGGATGTTGTAAGACTTCTCACTTCATACGACTAAGCAGTTCTTGAGTCACTGGGCTACATGAGGTCGGACATTATCATGCAGCAGATATTGTTGAAATGTTGAAATTTATTGCACCACTCAGCCACTGGTGTCGTATGAGAATAACTATAGTCATCATATACAGCTTTCATTCTCTTATATATTTCCATTGGCTGACGTCCTTCAGCGACCAAAAACTGAATAACTGCACGCAAGTTATCTTTGGTTGGATAGAAAATAGCAAACTGCAAATAGTTTTGACAAACGCTTTATTTAATAGTACTTAAGCAAACAATCTAAACAAATGAATTCTGTTGCCATGACGACCAGGTCCTGGCTGCATAGATTAAACGTGTTTCTATTGAACAATCTTCGTATTTAATGCAGATAGTAATTTTTGCATTTCTTTATATCGTATTTGTGTATTGTATGCCGCATTTTATATTTTTTGTGTGTTTCAATCTTTGTTTTTGAAATTTACTTGGTGTAACCGCAATGTAAAATGACATATTTAATACCGTTATCCTTTTGATTGTAATCGTTTACGTTTTTGGTGTAATGTTTGCTTAATTTATGTTTATTGATGTTGATTACTTGGTCTTGTCCCTGAAGTAACATTCATATAATAATAATTCATAAGTTTGGATCATTTTATTTTAATATGTGGAAATTACCGATTCGTTTGATGTATGTACTGACTTGTTGTTTGCAACTAACAATTTTTTCCGTGAATGAAGCAGTCACGGGGGTGGTCAAAACTGTAATCAAATTGAGTTACGATACCTAATTCCGTGATTGCCATCGACATTCAACTGTAGGCTCGAAAACCCGAAACCAGGGGCGGGTTACCTATCTTGCAGGAGCGGGATTACTCTAATCAAAGCTCTTCAGTTTAGAATCTACGTGCTATAAATGAGTTACGATTCGTAATTTTCACATATCTTGTTTTAGTGTTTAAATCTGTGGCTGCAGAATTCCACACGAAGAGAGTTTATCTTCCGTAATACCAAAAAATTGTGAATGTTATATGCTCTAACACAGGGGTCGGCAACGTATAATGAAACGGAAGAGCCAAAAGTTACAATTTACAAAATTTCCCAGTTTTTAAAGAGCCACTAAACATTTTCGATTCAATATTGTTTGAATGGATATATTATTATATTTCTATAAATTTAAAATAATCGGATTTAAAATTTATTCATATAAACACATAAATATCTTATCAACGGGATCATTGGCTTTGCATGCCTTTTGAAAGTTTGATTAAGTGTATAACTTGTTGTTTTAAGTTTCAAGCACGACTCTAAATTATTATTGGTTAATTGACTTCTAACTTTACTTTTTATTATATTCATGCAAGAGAACGCTTGCTCGCACGAATATGTCCCCGAAGATCGTCGGTACTCCATATGCCAACTTCTTTAGCTCACTTGTAGCATTCTGGAAGACTATTCCATGCGTTGAATATAAGGACCTCAACTCGCGGAATTTCTTTTAGAGTTGTCTTCTTGTGTTACGCAATGTGCATGCATTTCTGGATCTCCAAATCTTCCAACTTACTTTTGAGTTCTGTGAACTTGCCACTCCGCAAGTCTTTGGTCTTCAAATCCACCAATTGCATTTGAAGTGATGCTGAATCAATTCCAAATGGCTCAATGTTGATCTCATTTGTATTTGTGTTGAGAGGATTTACTATGAAGGTGAGGGTGCTTTTGTTTATTTTGAATTGCTCAAATCTCTCAGCGAATCCATCCTTCATGTTTTTAAAGCTATGCTGAAATAATTCGTGTCAATCGCATTGGTATCGTCGCGATATTGCTTCAGATGTTTAAAATGAAGTAATTTACCTACCGCTCTCCATGTCTTCAATAAAAAGAAGTAATTTTTTCGAAACAAACTACCTACTCCTTCAAGCAAGGCGTTGGCCGGGTTGTCCTTTCCTTGCAGTTTTAGATTTAGTTCATTTAGTTTTATTGTGGTATCTACCATGAAGTTGAATTTTTGCAGCCATTTGTTTTCTTCTAATTCGGGATGGTTAATACTTTTAGTTGAGGAAAATTTTTAGTTCACTGAAACACAAAGCAAACCGTTGCAATACTTTTACCTCTGGAAAACCATCGCCCCTTATTGTGCAGAAGTAGGTCAGACAACTGGCTATCTATTTCTTCAAGGAAATCTTTAAACTGGCGGTGGTAGAGTGCTTTTCCCAAGATGCTGTTAATAATCTTAATTACCAAGTTCATAACCTCAACTATTTCGACCGGAAATGTTTGGGCACAAAGCGCTCCTTGATGAATTATGTAGTGGAACGTTAGAATTTCGTGGTTTATTTTGCTCTGAAGAATTGATGTCACCCCTCCATGTATTCCTGTCATACTTCTGGCTCCATCTGCATCCATACCACGTCTAGAGACGGTGGGTAACACCTAAGACCGAAATGGAATCAGCACTTGGCTGCGAGATAAACATGGTTATGAACTCGCATTTCTAAGAAAGTAAGAACAAAACAAAAGTTCAAATTTATCTCATTACGCTCATGTTAGGGCTTAAATTATTAATTTTACCAATGGAACAGGAGAACCGCAACTTTGTATCAAAAGAGCCGCATGCGGCTCGCGAGTCTCTGGTTGCGGACCCCTGCTCTAATAAAGGTATCCTGCAAATTTTGAGATTCTGATTTTCTTGATTTTAAAAGTTGAGGTGGAATTTAACTTGGATCTCAAAATCATTATTTTTGGGTCAATTTTCTTACCAAGTTCGATACAGGAGAGGATGAATTCGGAGAATAGAGAACTTTATAGTTAACCTACAAAAATGAGTACTTCGCCTTACATAGCGATTGAGGATATGGGTCACCTCAGCTTCTAATCATTCTCGAGTATGATCCGGTTTAGACGTCGTCTGTAATGGAAAAAGGGGTTTTCCTCTTCGAATTATTGGGAGCTTAGTAAGCGCGGAGTGGGTCTTGTTTTCAGGGATAACTACTTCATACGTCAAAGAAAAATTTTTAATAGGTACCTACATGTAAGTGATTTCACGTCCTCGTTTCTAGATGAATTTTCGTAGAATGCAGTCGAGATGGCCATAATATTTAATTTGTTGGTCATTCAGCTGCTAACGGAATGACATATCCTTAACCTTAAGTATAAATTACATCTTTATATGTTTACATAAATAATACATCACCTTCTTAAACTTTTAGCGAACTGACGCTAATAGTGACTAACACTAAAAAAAAATCGTTACCATGATTAAGAAGAGGTTGAGTGATTTAAGACGTACATTTTTAATCATTTGTATTAAATGCTTACTTATACCTACTAGTTCGGAGGTAACCTTGCCATTACATAATTTTATAATTCACGTCGATGGTAAAATAAATTTATAATGGAAAGACTAAACCATTCATGCTCAGTTGCGCTCTCCTGTGTGTAAATAATAATTTTGCGGCAGTGCTACTTAAAGACGTTAAGTAAACTCTACTTTTTCGCCATGATCATATCTTTAACAGGATATCTTTCGACCTTATTGTTGCTGACCCATGCGGTTCGTGGACAGTACTACAGAGGTATGTGTATGAATTTGCAGTATTTTTTAAAAACAAATAGGTAGTTTGATTATTTGATATAACATAAATTAGCGAACTTCTAAATATTCCACGGCATATAAATTATCTTTAATTTACATGTTAGCTTTGTATAAAGGAGTTACAGAAAAAATACGAGAGTTGCGCTAAAATATTTTTATAATTAACTGTTGTTTAGTTTAAAACATTAATTCACGTATTATTGTGTGACGACATAGTTATAGGTACTCAAATAGGTACCTAAACATAAGGGTTAGTACAAGGTGAGTAACTAATTATGCATTAAGGTTAAGGTCATCATTGGCGCGCAAGAAAAAAAAGTCTTTTGTGCCCTTGCAGCGTTTTGGTATATATTATATATATAATAGTCTAGTCTAGGTAGTTATTTTTAAAAAATCGTGTTAATCATTGTGGGAGATGTTAATAGCCCCTTTTATTTGAGATGTAAATTATTACCTACTTGGTCTATCAAATGTGCGTCATGAAATGGTTAGGAAACCTTAAATTAATTTCACCTAATCATTTCCTAGTAGCATTCAGTAATCCTTCACTCAACGCTAGTAGCACTCTGTAAGAAGTAAAATTTGGTTTGTAGAAATGAAAATTATTTATTTCCCGAAATCGCCATGCAATAAATGTGAATTATATATGAATATGATTACATTTATTATGGTCCCAAATGTTGTGGAGGTATTTGGAACAACCGATTTTTGTGCAACTATTGAAAATAATTCGGCTTTCTGTATGTCTTTTGGTTTTTCTATCCTGCACCTTCAACTCCTGAAGTGCGCATTAAGAACCTACTTACAAAATAATTTTTCTCAAGCGAGAGCTTATATTTGATTGTTTTAGATGTTTTAGGTTTTTAATTTAAGCTTTACCTTTAGGGTGTACTCAAATTTAAGGTAACATATAAAATAATTACCAAATATGTTCCCATGTGTGGTAGATTTACAGAATGACAATCACAATATCACCCTGACACAGTGACCCAATGTAGAACAGTGGCGACAACCGGGTATCTCGTTGTTGATTGGTCGTTGGTTTCGGCCACCACCTCGGCCACCACATTGGGGCTAAAATGACGTACTTTGGTATAGGAGTTTACACTTTTCCTCGCACTTTTCTTTGTGTTCTTTCGAAATGCTGTGAATAAAGGTGCTGCTGTATATTGTGGACATTCGGTTCTATACATCATATTGCGATATACAGGGTGAGTTTTTTTTCATTTTAAGCATTGGGATCTCGGAAACCATAAGACATACGGATTCGGTTAAATGAGGAAAGAGTTGTCGTTTTAAGAGCTTATTTAAGATATGCTTTTGTTTTTTGAAAAAAATCCACAGTTCACTAGATATGAGCGAAAAACAGATTTAGTGATTTTTCATTTAACTGGTGTAGAATCGTTATTATTAGAAATACCTACAACAAAACGACACGAATAAAAGTTTTAGACATTTTAATGCTTAACATGATGAACATACTAATTTATTTTTAGATTTTACAATTTTTCAGTTATAATACAAACTTTAATTTTTTTAAATGGTAGTCATAGTTGGCTTTGACATTTTTAAAAAGGACAAATTTTTCTCTTTATAACGATATAAGGCTTGCTAAATGTACTGTAATAAATAAACGCCATGCAGTAATTTTCGTATTATTGAGAGGTAAGTAAATAGAGTTGGCCATGGAAAACAATATGTAGTGAGACAGGTACCTTTCCTTTACGACGAAAATTGGACAGGCCAATGTTATCTTCATTTTCTACCAAATGAATTTCAAGATATGTAGGATGGGTTAGATTTGGAAACACGACGTAATTTACGCTGGTTTCAACACATACTTAGGTGCACCGCCGCACAACTAACTGCAAGTTAAATATTATAATAGACTGTAATTAAGAGAACAAAAATGTTTCCCATGGATAAATCTGTTTTTACTACTCTTAATAATACAAACCGAGATACAAACAGTTCTATTAGACCGGGAGATGATGACACTTTTTGTGGTGTGATTTGCTACAAGTATTGCGACCATTCAAAGGTTTAATTAAGTACTCCTCGAAACGAAAATGCGTGACGATTGTTTAAACATGTCGGAAAATTGAATGATTTTGGACAATTTGCTACACAAAATTCTTTGGATTTTCTGGTAGTCGGTGACAAAACAAATGACGGAAACGAAATGCCATACTTTTCCGGTGGGCCTTTTAGCCCGCCATACTCATTTCAACGTGTCGATTGTTTTTGTTTTTTTTTGAGTGATTTGCTACAAGCTCATTTTTTTATGAGCATCAAGTCCTCAATCAGTCATACACGAAAATCAACCTGCCATACCGCAGCGACGGTCCCGCATAGCCGCCATACCGGCACAAAGATGTCATTTTTGTTAATAATTTTGGACGATTTTCTACACCCTATAAATTTTTCCACCAGTTATTTTTATAGTCAGAAATAGAAATTTCGATACGCCATACCTGTGGCATGGACCAATTAGGTATGATATTTTTTCAAAAATGTAAGAATTTTCCGAAAATTTGGGCGATTTGCTACAGTATGGCACCAATGTTTCGTGACAGTTTGAGGTGTAATAAAAGTAAATACCACCGGAAAAGTATGGCATTTCGTGTCCGTCATTTGTTTTGTCACCGACTACCAGAAAATCCAAAGAATTTTGTGTAGCAAATTGTCCAAAATCATTCAATTTTCCGACATGTTTAAACAATCGTCACGCAATAACGGCCCCACTCCCAGAGAGTTAGCACCATTTTCGTTTCGAGGAGTACTTAATTAAACCTTTGAATGGTCGCCATACTTGTAGCAAATCACACCACAAAAAGTGTCATCATCTCCCGGTCTATATATCATGTTTATTTGTCAAAGTAAGTACAATGAACCTTGTCACAGCCAACTATGATTACCATTTAAAAAAATGTAAGTTTGCGTTATAACTCGAAAATTATAAAAGAAGAATAAATATTAATAATTGTATCTTATTAAGCGGAAAAAAATCTACAATTTTTGTTCTTTGCATATTTCTGTATTTCTAATACTAACGATTCTACAACAGTTAAATGAAAATCACTAAATCTGTTTTTCGCTCATATCTAGCAAACTGTGGATTTTTAAAAAAAAACAAAAGCATATCTTGAATAAGTTCTTAACACTCCAACTCTTTCCTCCTTTAACCGAATCTCTATGTCTTACGGTTTCCGAGATCCTAATGCTTAAAATGAAAAAAAACTCACCCTGTATATAGTTGGGTGTGTTTTAAAGTCAATAAAAATTAATTATGAAAAGATGATTATGCTGCTCAATTGTGATCATAAATACAATTGAATTGGTATAAATTTTAACATTTATTGCTGAATCACAAGGAATATTGCTTTTTTCTACTCCTTGGACTAAATCAATGTGTTTTGTCTTCCAGTTAAGGGATTAAAGTGTCACTTTTTCTTCCGAACACGACGCCGGACAAAATGTGATAGTACACACTGAAATGTCAAACACAATGGTGGTTAGGTACCTTTATAAGTACATTTTGGTTCTTGCGCCATATTATTTTGTCCTTATTATACCGTTTCCTCATATCTTTTATTAATTTGGGAGGCAGTAGTTTCTTCGTAGCTTGTTTTGTACAGTTTTGAACGATCACTTCTGCGCCGTAGTTTTGAAGGGGAATCTTTAAATGAAACTGACATTTACTATTAAACGGTCACAATTTGGCATAATCAAACAATTTTTTATCCTCAATACGGCGGATTATGATAAGAGGTCGCCACTGTCTTAATATGTGATGGTTTTCAGCTTTCAGTAAATTGCAGCTTGTTAAGATATTCTTCCACTTTTGGACCTATTGCTCACTTTCATGTCAAAAAATAAAAAGTTTGTGCTCGAGTCCAGATATAAATAGTGTAATTCATCAGCAATAGGCTACATAATTGAATAAATTTAATAACTACATTTGAGCGGTTGAGAATGCACTCGACAAAACCATGTATGACTGTATCTTCGATATACATTTCCAGAACAGAGGCGTTTATCCGTACATACGATAGGCATGTTTTATAACTTTTGCAAAATAATAATGTATTACTTTGTTTATTGTTTCTTACAATTTCTGCAAGGTTATATTAACTCGCATAGGTATATATAGTAGCAACCTTATATACTCTTTGATAGTAGTGACGTCCTCATATATCCTTTTGGAGGTATACCTACATGCGAGCCTACATGTCAAAGGAATTTGCGAACTTTTTATACGTTTTTCAAAATAATATAATCCAAGTCACAATTCAAAGATTTAACTCGTACCTAATTCCCATTATTAACTCGATGTTCAACTTATTTTTTCATATGGAACCAAATGACAAGAATTACCCGCTCAGCGTTTGTGCATCTATTGCTTTGTTGTGTCATTTTCCGACCTTTTGGCCACTCAAGGATATATTCTAGATCCATTACTTTCCTTTCAATGGATACACATCGCATTTCTGTTGTACCTTCTTTCCATATCCGGTTCTCGACAATATTCGCAATTGCAACTTTGTCTCTCCATCGACGGATTTTTTTTGGGACCCACTTTCCATATTTTCTCTAATTTTATTATTTAAAGCTCTTCAATTCAACGTATTCCACGTAAGTGCAACCTTCAATTGTCGACCGTCTGACTCTTCAAGCATTATGTAGGTATGAGTGAACTACTCCACTCTAATTGCTTGTTTTTATCTGGAGGTAGTTGGCATAAATGAATTCCTTTCATTGTCTTTTATTCTGTTTTTAATGCACTTCTAGAGTAACAGAAGACGTTGCTCCATATCTTTTATTTGAAATGTTTTATTTTTAGATGCCACATTATTGTATTATGCGGTGGCATCTAAAGATAAAACATAAAATAAAAGAAGATATGGGGCAACGTCTTCTGTTGCTCTAGAAAACGTCCCTGCGATCACTGGCAAAAGTGTAGGTACCTACTTCGCACTTTTTCAAAAAATAAGAGAAGATACGTAAATTAGATGAAATAATGGAGCAAATGACCATTTGACTCAACTGCAGTGATGATAGCAGTTATGTGGAAAATTCTAATGAAGACGGAAGTTGATTAATTGAATATGCAATCAATTCGTAATGAGTATCTTGTGATATTATACTGTAACGTGATTTATAAATTCGGGTTCGATTTATATCAATATTTATTAAACAAAACTAAACACTACAAAAAACCGTACAATTTATATCGATTATTTATATCACACACTTCGCAATATTTCCGCGCTCTATGTTTCTTACGTACTCGATCTCGTTAGGTAGTAGACTGCTTGCGATGTTCGGTCCGCAACCATTTATACACGCAAGCAATGTAAGTCAAGAACATTCGCGTAATTTTCCGGATAAGTCTGGAATAGTCCTATACATATCCCACTATCGCGCGCGTAGAAAATTCCAGAGCGCCAAAGGCGACGTCATGTCTGGAGCGTTTCCGTTACAATACTATTACATGCAACTTTTAACCACGCATAACTAAAACCAAGTTGTGATAGATTACGATCTATTAAAAAGTAGGCATACAGAAGATGTGCCTTTAAATCAAAATTAAAGAGGATTTTAGGTAAAGAGTCACAGGAAATTGCTTACTTGGAATTGTACGTATTTTTGATCTATTTGTACAAGTTCATATTTTTTTCTGGTGCAACATTTACCCTAAACTTTTGAATATAATTTTATGTTCAATGCGTTCAACAGAATTTAATTAATAGATTATTCAAAATAATTATATCTGTAATCCACATGGGGTGGTGTAAATATTAAGAATCACCAGAATTTAATTATTTTCTTTTTCTCAACGAATTCTTACCCTTAATATCTGCGGGAGATTTGAACTTTGGAATTTCTGGATGTCTGCCACTTTGTCGCGGAAAATTTGAATGCGTGCGGGAGGTTTGAATTTTTAATTTTTCATTTACATTTTAAGCTTTAACTAACCAGGCAGCTGAAAATAGTTATTTATGCAATGAGTGTATAAATGAGGCGTTTTATTGGTGAGTGAGATGTTTAGTAGATTTAGACTAAATTCGAACGAACCAATAATCGCCGATTTATACATGAATTGCATACAACGTTTTTTCGTCGACTTCACTGGGGTAGGTAATTTTAAATTCAACTGCAAGAAATTACAAACGAAATTATGAGCTCCGACGATTTTTCAATAAATTACAGCTATTGTCGTTGCTATAGTAATGTGTTGTTTTATGCTGTACCGTCAGTCCTCGTAATCGCAGTGGAAGATTATGTTGCTTGCTCTGCTGCGGAGACGATTTTAACATTATATCCACTCAAATCAAAAGAAACTTATTGGAACGGTTTCGATCAGTTCGGCAATTGATGGAATACAATGAATTTGAAAAGAGATATTTCCGAAAATGTCACGTTGACATTTTACCTTGAAAAGGTATGTGAAATTAGAATGTAATTAATTCTTTTGCAACTGTACTAAAGTACGTGTATTAACAGTGAAAGATATGGAAATGTTCATCCCTGTGGTCGACGTACTCAATGTTGAAGGTAAAGTAACTGAATACCTTAACAATACCTTATCCAAGGAGCTACACATACATACATCAGGATATGCTTTGTTGAGATCGTTTGGCGACCATACTGGCTGCTGATCTCACTACATTAAAACCGAGATTAAAATGGTTAGGTGGATGGAAGTTCTCAGCTGTTGCCGAAAGTGAATTGTTATATAATTGTCATTTCCCTTTAATAAAATGGTTATGTATAAGTGGTTGCTAACGATTAATGGTTGCTAACGTATAATGGTTGGTTGCTAACCATTAATGGTTGCTAACGATTAATAAGCTTCATCATTGTACTCGTCACTAAGGAGTAATTTATATTGTTATCGAGAGGTCGACGAAAAATGATATTTAGGGAATCCAAACGTAGACACAATTTAACACCACGTTTTGAATTTTTCGATTCAAATCCACACGTATCGTTTTCGAATTATGGTTTGATTTATATCGACTACAACGGGCTCATATTGTCTTAATGCTTTCATTAGTTTCTTAAGCACGTCTCATAAGTCATAGGTAATTGAAATACACACTTTGATCATCACATTTTCAAAATTCTCGGACAACAACACATATCGTAGTCCAATTTGCTGAATATTGCTTCCTGCATTATTTAACGGTATCGTTGTATTGTAAAACAGATTACGCTCCTCCTCCTACAGTCGATGGGATATAATGTTACAAACAGAAGCATTCCGAGTAAAATTCACCGTCCACGTGACATTTAAAATTTTACCGGCGTTAAAATGCTCGCAGCAGAACTGAATGGCTGGAATGATGAGTGCCATTACCATTACACCCTGTATATTGAATTTCAAATGAACCTACCGACACACGCGATTCAATTTGGTCTTATCAGAACAAAATGGCCGACCAGTTAATGTCCTATTGGCACTCGCACAAGAACGTCGGTCACAAGTATCGTGTATATAATTATTAATACACCCTGTATATTTAAAATGACAGCCAATCACAGTAAAAAATTCAAATACTTCGCACAAATTCGAATTAACCGCCACAAAATGAAGGCGGACAATTTCTTTGATACACTGTTTGACTCTTTTTGACGTGAAGGATATCGTGCATGTAAAGTGTTAACAAAATAACTCATTTTCAAAAATATAAACCACATCATAAGCATCTTCACTTCCTCTATGGCATTTTGGCATTTTGTAATTTATCTGTCGTTGAAGCTTCTTTACAAAACTAAAAGCAGAACATTTCAAAAATTCATCGCTTTTAAAATGATTTCATTTTTAAGCTATAATTGTCAAATTTATTAGGCACGACCCGAACGGGCACGGCCATAGCTTCGCCACTGCCACTGGAATATCTGCCTTAGAGAGAACTCTGCTTTCTGGTGGTAGCTTCTTCTCCGGGCGTTCATTAGTTTCCGATGTTCCTATCCTTTGGTCTCGTTCCTCTCCCAATTTCCCCCCGTGTTCCAGTCCTTTTTATTGTTGTCCTCTCTCTGAGTTACTTTCTGTCCCCTCCTCTTGGCTACTTTTGCTTGTCTGATTATTCCTCCACTGCTAATTCCCTTATCTGCTTCTTGTGAGGTTGCTGTTTTCCATCACTATCCCGAGTGCCTTCCTTCAAAAAATAGAAAATAAATTCGTTTAACGTTTGCTTAAAGTTAAAAACGTATGGTATAATTAAAGTTAGATTTTACGAAATGAGCATAGGAATTTATTTTATCCATTGATGTACCTACCTACTTCGGGGAACAAATTTATGCTGCGGATTTTATGTATAAAAATGGTACCGTGTGCTACAAGAGGGGTATTTTCATTCACATAAAAAGTAATAGTTTGCTAACACAATTTTGTTTTTAAAGATGAAGGCGGATACAGAACAAATATTTAACCAAAACCTTTACAGATGAGCGCTGTCGAGTGCAATCATCCAGAGGCATCGGCCGCTGTATGGTCATAGGGGATTGCGCATACGCTATACAACAACTACGTCGCAACATCTACCCCCAGCTGTGTGGTTTTTTGGGCATTCAACCGATAGTATGCTGTCCTGTCCAGGATGTGGTGAGACCTAAACCAACTACTCGTCCCACAACCACAGCCGCACCACAACTCCAGTCGAGGAGTGCTGAAAGTAAGTTCCAGTTTACTTTCCCTTTTTTGACATTTATATTTGAATATTAATATACTATCAGCTATGGTATATTCTAGTTCTACTGTCTTACTCGAGGTCTTACTATTACGAAATTTTATGTTATGTTGACTTCAGGGACGAGGTACATCTGTCTTTAATTTTGCTATTGTCGTTGCCCCTTAATTTGATTTTTTCTAGGATTGTGGGGTTGGGATTATTTGGTATAAAATGTAGGCATTTGGGGAAGAGAGTTTATTTCCAACTGAACTGGTTCGATGCAAGTTTTACACTCTTCTGATTAGCAAAGCAATCGTCGTCAAACCCGATGACCTGTCAAGTTAATGTTTGCGAGTTTGTCAACCTTGCTACTTACTTGTCTACATTACTGTAATAGCCAATTTCATTACATATCGGCGGATATCCTGACTTTTACACATTCATAAAGTTTGTTAACCTCATATTATTACTCTACACTCTACAGGATCACACTATAGGCAAAAAGTGAGAGACCAAATTTAATCCGGAAGTTATCATTTGAATATTGATAATCGAGACTTTCCAAATATCAAATGAAATAACCTCCGCGCACGAGAGTCTTAAAGGAACCCATTTCTATGTAAATGCCTATCAAACTTATTACCTACTCAGTTTTTATTCAACGCTAAAACTAGACCTTAAAAACAATCAAGAATGTTAGAATAGTATATTAAGATACAAGTGTATAATCAAGTCTTTAAAGCACGCGCAACGAGTTTAAGGGCACGACGCAAAGCGGAGGGCCTTTAACGTTGCAAGTGCTTTAAAGACCAATTATACACGTGTATCTTATAGTATTTTTTATTATACCTGCAGTATAATTTAAAAATAGGAAATACAATGAAGTCATATTGACGTTATACTCGAATGCATGTCTAATTAAGTGGGCTGGGTGTTCGTAATTTCACGAGTGCCATGGAAATGTCACTTGACGTTTGCTTAAAAAATCATCGTCTTTGTGAATTAAACGATTTCCGTTGAAAAAGATAATACACCGTCCATTAAATTGATTGTTGTAAAATCTAAACAAACGTTGGTAGGTGTAAAATCCAACTCCAGTAAAGCCTATTATAAAGAATATGAAACGTTGTTTCCATGGATGAATAGGAAGTTACTTACGAATACAGTCTTAAATGCATCCATAATGCTGGCATATATGAAGGAAATGTCAAAGGTATTTAAATCTTCTATATTTTGGTGCACTCATTCAAAACTTTAAAGCAATGCTGCGATTAAAAAGTGGAACAGATTTGGAAGCATACCCTAAATTACGCGCGTTTGTAAAAGCTTCAACCAAAGGATAGGTACAAAAGCCAAAGAAATGTTCTGCATTTACACTAAGCGACCTAAGAGGATTTTTTATTTCATCCAGATGACAGTTTCAAAAGTCATACTTGAAGTATCGTTACTTAGCAACTTTAAAGCACGTGTGTTTTAAAGGCCCTTTTTCGCACGCATTTGAGTGTTTAAAACGGAGATTGTGATTCAGGTATAATAAAAAAAACTTACTAAACTTCGTTCTACTTTTGTTTAGTGTTGAAATCTAATGCGTGCGTCGGGGGTTAGATCCCATTTGACAACATTTCGAAAGTCAGTTTTCGTTTATAAGGTTCTTTTACTTAACTTTTTGTATTGTATGGACATAATTTACATATACTATACTTCAAATATTCTGCATAACAAAAGAAATACAGACACCAATTCCGGATATGTCATCATTCTTATGTGGCAAAACAAACAAATGGTTAAGTAATTAACGCGTAATTGTTTACAAAAACAACAATCAGTAATGTAGAAAACTCGTTTCAATTGATTTGCGACACTGGCTGCATTTTAACATTCGCTTTTCTTATATAATTTCTAGCTTTGTATAAGATACACATCTATAAAGTCTTTCAATGTATACTCGAAGATACTTTATTTTATGTATTGGTAGTGGTACTCAGTGTCAGGTGTCGCGCAGTCCAGCAAACTAGGTTACTTAATAGTCCAGGAGCAAGGGGTCCATTTTGACTAGCGTTTTTATGCAGCTAGATTTTTGACTATACTGTTAAATAAGCTTCCATTTCATGATTTTGGACACGTATGGAAATATAATAATGATAATCACCTACGTATATACAGGGTGGTGAAATAATTTGGGGGGCCAATAATCACATGTTATGAATTTTACATTGAAATCCCTATGATGCGTTACGCAAGTCACCACCCTGTATAGGTGAAAAGACCATATCACCCGAAGCAAGAATACCTACATCATTGCGTTTATACAGGGTGAGTTTTTTTTTCATTTTCACTATGGGGATCTCTTAAACTGTAAGAAATACCATAGAGTAAATACAAAGGAAATACAAAGTCGTTTAAATGGATGAAGAATTGCAGAATTTTATGCTGATTAATCTTCCCATTCAACGTTTCTTGTAGCTCTACAAATTAACGAAGTTGTGACCAAAAAACCGAAAATGTCATTTTCGAAAATGCGCTGGCGTCCGTTTATTTTCACAGATATCAAAAAATAGTTTTTTGCACTCCTTCGTTCTAAATCGCGTTTTCCCAATAAAACACGAACGTCGGGAATGTCACTATTACAATTGACTGTAACGGAAATGCTCCAGACATGACGTCGCCTTTGGCGCTCTGGAATTTTCTACGCGCGCGATAGTGGAATTTGTAGGAATATTCGAGAATGTACGCGGATGTTCGGGACTTACATTGCTTGCGTGTATAAATGGTTGCGGACCGAACATCGCGCTAGTCTACTACCGAACGAGTACGTAAACATCGAGCACGGAAAGATAAATTGCGATATAAATAATCGATATAAATTTGTGAGTGATATAAATAACCGATATAAATTGTACGGATTATATAGTGTTTTAGTTCTGTTTAATAAATATTGATATAAATCGAACCCGAATTTATAAATCACGTTACATTGGTGTCAGAAGTGGGATTAATTAAATTAATTAAAAGTAAATAAAATTAAATTAAGTGCTTGTGCTTGTGTATGCCTGTAACAAGATCTGCTGCCGCTAAAATGGAAGAAACGATGCTCAATTTGCTCCAGCAAATCCAAAATGGCCAACAGGTGTTGCAACAAGAAATAAAAAGCAACCAAGGAGAAGTTGGAAGAAAATTCTAGAAATTTTGAAGAGAAGTTCGAGAAAATGGAAGAAAATTCTAGAAATATTCAAGAGAAGTTCGAGAAGTTGGAAGAAAATTCTAGAAAGATTATCGAAGAAGTCTCTACATCAATTGAAGAAAAAGTTGAAGATAGAATTACGGAAGTTTCCAAAACATTTAAAGCAACATTCGTCGAGATTGAGCACAAGTATGAAGAGCTGCGCGAGCAATTCTTGCGACTGACTACGGAAAGAGCGTACTAGTAGTGCCCCAGATGAATTACTGATGGACCGTCTTCTTGAGGTGCCACAGTCTACTCATTACAAGAAGGTCGACCCAGAAACAAATACAAGAGTAGAAGGCGACGTTCAGCAAGCCCGAATAAAGCCACCTACTTTTGATGGTAAGATTCCTTGGACCACGTACGTTCGACAGTTTGAAGCAGCGGCTGCGGCAAATAAATGGACTCTTCAAGACAAAACTACAGCCCTGATTCTTGCTCTGAGAGGAGATGCTCTGGATGTGTTGCGGACCATCCCCGAGGATCAACAGAACTTCCAACAAATAGTAGCGCGACTCGAAATGCGATATGGCGATAAACACCTTCAGCAAGTTTACTATGCCCAAGTCAAGAACCGAATGCAGAAACCTGGAGAAAGTTTGCAGGAACTTGAAGCGGACATCGCTAGACTGATTCGATTGGCATACCCTACGGCACCGGAGAGCTTTCTTGATCAACTGGCTGTACAAACATTTATCGATGCCGTTCGTGATGGAGATGCCCAGCAGGCTTTGAGACTGGCTAGGCACGACAAAATTGAGAAAGCTTTGGCCCATGCGTTAGAATTCGAAGCCGCCAAGAAAGCTAGTCATGGAAGTGCGCGAGTACGTATGGTGGAACCTCGCAGTGAGAGCCGGGTAAGAACCATCGAAGAGGAAGGTGGCTCTGAAAGTTTTGAAGAAAAGGTCAGTAAAGTAGTGGAAGAAAAGGTCAGTAAAGTAGTGGAAGAAAAGATCAATAAAGCAATACAGTCACTGGCAAAGAAACGTGAACCACGATGTTGGAATTGCGGCGAGATTGGACACGTTCGCCGCAACTGCCAAAAAACCATTACAGCAGTCGGAAAACTAAGAAAGGTCGACAGGAAGGGGCTATCGTCGACCTGCAGAAACAAAGCCCCGATCTTCACTGTAAACATTACGTCGTCTGGAAAAGTTCTGAGTCTGTACATCGATGGCCGAGTTAATGGAGAAGACAGATCCTTGCTAGTAGACACAGGTGCAACAAGAACTATTGCAAGACCAGAGTTATTGAAGAATCATTCTCGGATCTCATCTTCGACCGTGCAGTTAAAAACAGCAACTGGTGAAAGAATAAAAACGCACGGAGAAATACAAATGTCTGTCACCATCGGAAAGACCACCATCAATCACCAGGTGCTAATTGCTGATATTTCTGATCAATTCATCTTGGGGATGGATCTTCTTAAGAAACTCGGAGCTGTGTTAGACGTGAAAAAGGGCGTGTTAAAGGTCGGCGATGAAGAACTCCCTTTCCATGAAGACAAAGAAGATGTTATCCGCCTGTTAACCACTCATGACGTCATTATACCCGGACTTAGTGAAAAAATTATAATGACCACTTTAGATGGATATTGTCGCCAGGGAAGCCTACGGATAGTCGAAGCACTAAACCAAAAGGAATTTCTAGTGGCTAGGGCTCTGGTAAAAGTTCAAAATGGCGTTCCGATTCGAATTATGAATTTGAAAGATAGTCCTGTTAAGCTAAGCAAACGAACTGCAGTTGGACAGTGTGTGCCCATCTCGGCTATTCGCTCTGTGAGATCGGAAAATCTATCTAAAGGAAAGTATCCAAGAGAG